GGTCTTAAGGTGGTGTTTCTGCAATGCTGTGACATGGAGCACAAAGCAGATATGGTCCTGGAGGCAGAAGGCATCTTGGTGGGGCTCCTCATTTTGAGGTTGTGGCATCAGCCCTTCCCTGCCACCCCCACCACCTGCCTCCTCCATAGGCTGCAGTGTCCCTAAACTATAACTTCAGCACCAAGGCTGCTGGGCTTTTTCTTGCTCTCTCTCCCAAGCCTGTATCCTGGCCTGAGCTGGACTCCAGTCCCTACTGCCCTTTGGGACTGCTGAGTGTCCAGATCCTGCCACTCCCAACCTGGAGCCCTGTGGGCTGTGGTGCTCATCCCCTGCTCCTTCTGTTTCTGATTTGTGAGAGGCTTATCTTGTTTTCAGCCCAGGCATATGTTCTGGGCCCCCTTGTTTATGTTGCATTGATGGCTGCCTTGTGCTGGGGCAGTGGGTGTGAGCAGCTGTGCACCTGCAAGTATTTTGATCAGAAATCCCTTTGTTTTGAAATGCAGTTTGCTCCTTGTTGGTCTCAGCCTCTCCAATCCAGAGTAGACAGGTGGCCTCACCTTGATAAGGAAAGGCCTTTAAGAGAGTTTTCTGAGTAACAGAGCAGCTTTCCCTGAAATGAATTCTGCTCCTGCCACCCTGGAATGCAGACACGGCTGTGGGTTTTTAAGCCACGTTTTTCTTTCTACCTCCTAGATTTCTGTACTTACGCATTTCCGCTCATGTGGCATTTCAAGACAGTGGTGCAGGGGAGTGGCCTCTCTCAGGCACAGGGCTTTTTGCAGACCCTTCCCTGACTGCTACTGTCCTTCTCTACCCTCCTTCCCTGCAACCTCCTTCCCTGCAAACTCCTTCCCTGCAACCTCCCTCGACCTTCTAGTTTCAGCCTAAACACGGCTCCCTCAGAGAAGCCCCGAGTAGCCGGGCCCTCTTTATACTCTTTTGCACTCTCTCTTTGCCTTCTAGGCATTCGATGCCCATGTGGGCACCCTGGCCTGTCATCCCGGATGGTGGGGGTCGGACCCACCCCGCAGCCAAACGAAGGACTTGACGTTTCTCTCCCACCTTCCCAGGTCTGCTTCTGTCCTGACACTGCTGCTGTCACAGGGAAAGGACCGGAATAAGACTGACTATCCCCTGTCCCCATCGCTGGGCATCTGGCTGCACAGGTCTCCTCGCCCAGTCCGAGGATCGCCTGCATGCCTTCCCTTCTCCCTGTCCCTCTCTGAAGGGAGCGAAGCAGCTCAAATTCAGAATGTGCCCTGTCTCTTTGAGAGGTCCAGTGTGACTTCCTGTTGGAAGATCTTCTAAGTTTATGGAATTTTAGAAACGCTCTGCTAATAAGGCAGAAGGGACTTTTGACCTCCCCTCCCCGCTTCCATCCTGTAACAGGAAACCAGCGATTCCTTTCTGCCCCACCTACCAGAGGGGCAAGAAAACATCCCTAGGAGGAAGGCCATTGCCTTTTGCTCTTCATCTTCTATCTGGAAAGTTCCGTGCCCTCTTCCCTGGGGGGATGAGTAAGACGGCACACAGGGCTTGGGAATTTTTAATAAGGGCCAGAGCTCTGCAGGGATGCTTGATGGGGGGGGTGCTCGTTTTCGAGGCGGGGAGGCTGGAGGAGAGGCAGATGCTTCCAGGAGTAACTGTCTGGTTACCAGACTGCGAGACCCACGAAGCCCAATCCTCCACCCACGGAGGGGCGGTAGGGAGAGGCCGTCAATTTAAGAGTTTTATTTACCTTGAACTACTCAGCCAAGCAGACACATTATTTAGGGACTAGAATAAAAAGCCATTCACTTTACTTCAATTGACCATTTAGTTCAATTTGTGTGTTACTGCAGGTAATTACTCCAGTAATAACACGCGGTAATCGGCGCTGATTGGGAGCCGGCCCCGGCTCTGTATTAATACCGCGTGCCATATATACTAATTATCCGTGTGTTACCATGGTTATTTGCACGGACGCCGTGTTAACGACACCCTGGAAACACAAAGCAATAGCGAGTTTTGAATTAAATCTTTGTGTTCTCTTAGAGCGAAAAGTGCATTTCACATAAAATAATCATGAATAAAATGAGATCATCTTGGCGGAGTTGCCAGGAAGCTGATTAACCGAACTGCATAAATGTGACTTTATCCCACTCAAGAATCAGAGCCTCCCAAACGTTGTCGGGGTTGCTAGGCAACCCCCCAAGATGACATCACTCACACAAGCGGCGCTGCCGCGATGTCATCTCTACATATTTATAGCGCCTCCGCGGAGAGGGTGTGCATTATGGAAACGACGTTATTTTTCTCCCGATTGATGGGTATGAATGACCGTCAGACCCCCGAGGGCTGTGGAGAAAGAGAATTTGGGAATACCTGTGTGACACTTTCCTGGGGTGTGATAGATGCTTTATTTCCACCAGGTTACCCTAATGGGTCCAAATGAAAAGGCGTGTGTCACAGCTGATGAGTTGTCTGGAGCTTGGTCAGTGGAGGCTGCCGTCTTCCTGCCTGTGCACAGCAGCTGCGTGTGTGCCCAGGTCTCCCAGGAGGCAAAAGATTGTCGACGCCCCCACAGCTGAGGAGAGCCTCTGCCCCTGCACTACAGCGGGCCCTGGTTCCCTGCTCTCACCCTGAACTCATACCAGGGGGAAAACCAAAGCAGGGACACGTCTGGCTTGGCTTGTGTGGTGTTGAGCACCCCGTCATGGGAGGTATTCAAGAAGAAGCTGGATGACTAGAGCAGAGAGGAAGGGGAGGGTGGGAGGTCGAAGGTTAGGGCTCTGTGTTCGTGTCTAAGTGCCCACCCTGAGCCAGGCTGGACACACAGCTGAGGCCTCTGAGGGTTTGGGACCATGAGGAGTGAGGCTTGCCAGGGGGCATGTGGAGAAGGCCTACCCAGTGCCTGAGGCTGAGGCAGCGCTTCCTACAGGGGCTTGAGAAGGGGCATGGCCGGAGCTCGGGCCTCCTGAGCCAGATAGGGAGTCAGGATTTGCTTGGGGAGCTGCAGCTCGGTCTTCCCTGAACCCCAGCCTCCTCTGGCTGCAGCATAAAGAGGGGTTGGGGGTGGGGACAAGAATCAAAATGCAGCCGGGGGAATCTAACGTTGGAGTCAGGATGGCTTCAGAGCAGCTCTCATCTGCCCTGTCAACTTCCCTGTGTGCGGGCTCATTCCCGGCCACCCCCAGCCAAGCTGGCCCTCCAACCCCGCATCACCCTACAGCGATTTCTCTTTATAGACTCCTCTTCCTCACTCCCTGTAGAAACGAATCTGGCATAAAAGAAGTCTCACCAAGGTCTCCAGCGTCCTCTGTGTTGCCAAACCCACTATCTTCTCGAGCAGCCCTGTACTGCCTTCTTCTGGTGCCTTCTGGGAGCCCCCGCCCCATCAGCCCTTTCTACCTGTCCTCCCCACTGGTGCTCTCCACCGATCCTCCCCACCTGTCCTCCCCATCAGTCTTCCCCACCTGTCCTCCCCATCAGTCCTCCCCATCTCTCCTCTCCATCAGTCCTCCCCACCTGTCCTCTCCACTGGTCCTCCCCCAATCCTCCCCATTTGTCCTCCCCAGCTGTCCTCCACCGGTCCTTCCCACCTCTTCTCCCCACAGGTCCTCCCCCCATCCTCCCCACCTGTCCTCCCTACCGGTCCTCCCACTACATAATGGGCCACACCTTCTCAGTCTCTCTCCATGGCTGTTTTCCCTTTTCCCCACCCGGGAGGGCCTGGGTTAAGCCCCATCTACACCCCTCTCCCAGGATCCCCCCCAGTCCAGTCCCTTTGTTTTATTTATTTATTTATTTTTATTTTTTTGAGACAAAGTCTTGCTCTGTTGCCCAGGCTGGAGTGCAATGTCACAATCTCAGCTCACTGCAACCTCTGCCTCGCAGTTTCAAGTGATTCTCCTGCCTCAGCCTCCTGAGAAGCTGGGATTACAGATGCATGCTACCGTGCTCAATTAATTTTCATATTTTTAGTAGAGACGAGGTTTCACCATGTTAGCCAGGCTGGTCTCAAACTCCTGACCTCAGGTGATCCGCCCGCCTTGGCCTCTCAAAGTGCTGGCATTACAGGCTTGAGCCACCGTGCCCGGCCGACAGTCCAGTCCCTTTAAATGCCGTTCCTATGGTGATAGCCCCACATGCATCTACCCAGCTCTGACCTCTCTGACCTCCACCCTGCAATCCTCTGACCTCCACCCTGCGATCCAGATGTTTGTCCGCCCACTCAACACCTCAGCATCTCAACAGCTTACAGGCTGAATCGGACAATTGCCAACAGCTCACAGCAGCACGTCCACGCTGGAAACCTGACCTCCCCTGTCTTCCCATTCCTTCAATAGCCCCCATTCTCCATCTGGCTTTGCCAACCCCATGACATCCTCTTGCCACACTGTGTTCTGCCAGGTTCCCTGGGTCCAGCGTGTAGCCCATTCCCACCCCAGGGTCTTAGTACTCACCATTCCCCGCACCTGTAATGCCCGCCCTGCACCGAGGTATTCTCGGGGCCACCCCCTCACTGTATTCTGCCTCAGCTCAAGCGTCCCCTCCTCAGGGTCCTGCCCTCCCCCACACCTGCTCCCCACTGTTCTCATTGTCAGTTTCCCTTCCTGGAATTGGAAACTCCACTAAACCAGTGGAGCACTGAGCATCAAAAGAGGTCTCACCAAGGTCTCCAGTGACCTCTGTGTTGCCAAACCCACTCCATTCTCAAGGGGCACCGTACTGCCTTCTCCTCGTGCCTTCCGGGAGCCGCCCCTCCCCACCCCTGCTGCTGTCCTCCGCACCTGTCTTCCCAATACACCACGGGCCGTATGACGAACAAGATGGTTCAAGGTGAGTTGTTGAATGAGTGAGAAACCGAAGCTGGTGGACACAGGTGAGACACCCAGCGTGGCGTGGGGACATTTGGGGGACAGCGTCATGTTGGGACATTGTCTCCTGAAGCAGGACAAAGACCCTTTGTCCCCAGCCTTGGCGAGATGGTCCGAGTGCTTAGTGACTCAGTGACTTACCTGAGAGTTGTCAGGTCAGGGGGTGGCACTGTCACTGGCACAGGAAAGGAGGACAGCGCAGGGCCTGAGGAGCGGCCTCTGCGTCTGTGGAGCCTGTGCTTTCAGCCTGCGGGAAGAGCGGTGCGGAGCCGAGGCGTGGTCAAGAGCTCCTGAGGCTGGGCTGGGTGGCATTCCCTGGGGGATAACTTTCTGAGCTGGGAGTGTGAAGGAGGCACCACAGGGGGTGGGTCCTGGGCCCTGGGAGCCTCCGGGGGAAAGGTCCCTGTCCCTGTCCCTGAGCTGAGGCCCAGCTGTCTGGGAGCTTGGGGAGACTGGCCTGCCCAGCACGCTGCCTGGAGGAGGAGCGGTGAGGCTGGCTTCTGGGGTTGGGGGCTCAGCCAAGCCTGCATGATGGCTGCAGAGAATTCCTACTGGTCCCCCTCCAGGAGGGGGCCTCCCGGCATGGGTTTTGAGAAAAACAAGTCTGACTCTGGGACTCAGGCCCAAGATGTCAGGGCTCACGGCCCTGTAAAGCAGGGCGCTTGGGGCTGAGGATTATTGGGGGCGGGGTGCACCAATCAGTTCCTGTCCCCTGGTGACTGTGCCCCTGGCCAGTGACCTGGCCTCCCTGAGCCCTGGAGTAGGGTCTCACTTCAAATGCTGGCCGGCGCCTGCTGCCACTGTGCTTTAAGCAGTAGTCAGAGAGGTGGGGGTGGGGCACAGAGACAGCAAAGACCCCCACTCGATGTGTGCCAGGGTGCCCACTGGTGGGCCTAGGTGACGAGGATCCCAGGTTCCCATGGATGAGGGTGGCCATCTCCTGGCGCCCCTGAGCTGCTGGCAGTGGAGACGGTGGATGGCCCCCACACCAGCCTTTCTTCATGAGGCATTTCCAGTCTCTCCTGCCCTCAAGCAAGTTCCAGTGAACACGTGTTGCTTGCTAGGACCTGGATCCCCCCGTCCTAACCCTAACCCTAACCCTAACCCTAACCCTAACCCCACAGCAAGTCCAGCCCAAGTCCAGCCCAAGTCCAGGGAGCCATCTGAGGCCTAACAGAGTGACTAATTATTAGAGACACTCAAGGAAACCAACCACATCTCCAGATGCCGACTGCAATCCCCAGGATTGCATAAAATAAAAGACATTTAAGCACTCGGAGAGGGGCAGCTGTGTGGACTCAGGGTGCAGAACTGCCCATCAAACTTATTGTTTGAGCATCAGTGGGAGAAGACCTTGTCATCAACAGAGCCCAGGCTGGGGAGGGAGCTTGGGAGTCCCTGGTACAAACCTCATCTCCAAGAAGCCCCGGGAATGGAGGCTGGTGGCTGGGGTCCCAGGCTGTCCGCTGTGACCATGGCCCTGGTGTGGATGGGCCACAGCCCCCAGGGTCGCCCCAGTTGCAGCCTCCGCTGCAGAGGCTCCCTGGCAGCTGGAATGTGCATCCCTAGTGGATTTGGAAACCGAGTCTCGGTGCCCTCCCAGTTTCTTCATCGTGTCACCCATGAGCACATTGCAATCATCATTCATGGGACCAAAATGCTCTACAGGGGTCAAAGCAGCCCCAGCAAATGCTGACTCTCCACTTTCCTTTGTCTCCTTTAGACACAGTCAGAATACTCTTTGCCAACTCTCTTCTAAAAACCTGTTTGGGAAATTATTTGGCAAGGAAAGTCTTGGCACACGCTGGGGGACAAGCAGGGCAAAGAGCTCGGAGCCTCCCCTCCCAGGTCTGCAGCAACTGGACAGTTCCTCGGGCCCTGGACCTCCCACACCAGCGTGGCAGGGTCTCGATGCACTAGAGAGGCCCCCGAGGGAGCTCTCCTGGCCACATCGGAGCCAGTTAGTCCCGCTGGTTGGAGATTTCCAGTCCCCCCCGAGTTCTGGCCCATCAGCCTTTCTGCCACAAACCAACCCAACCACGTGGACGGTGTGTGGCCATCAAAGCCGTGGCTCCACGGAGGCCTCCTTCACTGGGGGTGCTCGGGCTGGAGCTGCCTGAACTTGGCAGGGCTAGGCCTGCAGGGCCCTGTGGAAAAGCAGAAGTGATCCAGAGCCACCACTCAGCGGCCTCCAAGGCTGCAGTGGGTGGGGGGCTGAGACTCAGGTTGGTGGTTGGAGAGAAGTCCAGGCAGTGGAGCTGGGAGCCAGAGGCTCACCCTTCTCCTCAGGAGGAGAGCTTGGGTGGCTTGTGCCGAGAGTTGGGGTGCTGGGGCATTCCCTGAGCTCCATGCCACTGCCTTACTTGCTGTGCCTCACTGAAAACATACCACATCCTCGTGGCATAGGCACCCATTTTACAGATGGGGAAACTGAGGCCCAGAGGTGCCATCACTTACGAGCTGCTCATCAGCAGAGTCTGGCCTCCAGGTCTAACGCCTCCTCCTGGCCTTTTAGTTGCTGTGGAGACAGAAGGCAGAGGGTAAGACCACAGGGGAGGACCTAAGAGAGGAGTGACGGCGACTCAGGGCTGGGAGATGGGGCTGCCATTGGAGGCACCCTGGAGTGGGAAGGAGGGTTGAGGTCAGAACGGGGAGGGTGTAAGTCTCTCCCACCCTCCCTGCCTCCCTGCACCTGGGGCTTGCTCTTCCCCGCCTCTTCCCAAGAGCTTCACCCAAGTTTTGTACTCCTGCCCTCACTGGCTTTATACCCCAAGTCTGCCTGGCTGGGGTTGTGGAGGAGGCCACATAGCACGGCCACTGTGGACAGCAATGTCATTGTCCTTCCAGGATCCTTAGAAGCCACAATCCCACTGCCCTCTGGCCTGGCAAGGGTGTGACTGCCCCCAACCCCTGCAAAGGGGATGACATGTCTCTATTGTTGCTGTTGGCACCATGGCAGGAATTGTCAAGGGTGACTCATTCAGGACCAAACGAACAGCCCAGTGGATACTGCCAAGACCCTGCATTCATCTGCTGGTTGCAGGCGGTGGCGTTTAAGACCCACTTTATAAATCATGCCTGTGTGCACATGGGGGATGATTAAAAACCCCATAGGGCTTTGGACAACCGTGAATACGTAGGGCAAGGGAGGCTGGTGTCCTTGCAGATTGAATGCAGATGTGCCCTCTGGGGTGGGTGAGGGGCAGTGTTTGCAGCTGGAATAGTCTTCAGGGGCTTTCTGTCCTATGACGTTTGTTGAGCACCTACTATGTGTCAGGTATCACGAGAGAACGGGGTTCAAACTCCAGGGCTGCCTCTAGCTCCCAAGTAATCACACCCAAGTAATTACACCTGTTTGGGCCTAATTTTCCTAATCTGTAACCAGGGAAGACCATCTGACTCACCAGTAGGAGTTATGAGGGGAGGCATAGACAGAGCAGCTGGCTCCCAGGCCCTGGGGAGCATGTAGTAAAGGGAATTCTCTCACCTCCTGGCCCCCATTCCCTCCCTTCTTGGGCCAGTAGAGCATGTGAGAACCTGGTCTCTGGCTCAACTACAGGGTGGTCCCTTTGCAACTCCAGGAGTGGCCTGGTAGGTCAGCATTTTTCAGTACCTACTGCATGCAGTTGGCTATGTAACATGCTGGGAACAAGAACGAGGAGGATACACAGATAAGGGTTCTAGGGCTCATTGTCTTTGGAGCAGGGATTGAACTATCCAAGCCTTCTTGTAGAAGTGAGGGCATCTGAGTGAGGGGCCCCTGAGGGGATAAGGAGGGACATGGGATGTGAGTAGCGGCAGACAGGGCCAGGTGGGGTGCCAATTTAACCCTTGGTGCCTCACTATTCCCATCATGGAAAAAGGACCTTTCATCACTTTCTGAAAAGGAGCAGGAAGTAGTAGGAAAACCAGAAAGTGGAAGGTGGGACCTGTCTGACTTCAGGTCAGATAGTAGCTTGGCCGCCTCCGCCTTCCCCAGTGGCATCTGAGGGTGTCAGTGGAGCGCTGCTGTGCGTCCCCTGTCCACACGGCCCCTGCTGCTGGGCTGTCACTCAGCCCTTGCTGAGTGGGGTTGCTGTGAGTATTACAGCATTGAAAAGCTTGTCCTCTGGGAAGAGCATTGTGCCCACTGGATTGTGCCCACTGGCTATTACCAGTGTGCATTTTGTTTTCTCTCATCCTGACCTCAGAGTGGGACTGCCTGTTCTGACCTCAGAGTGGGGCTGCCTGCTCCTGCCTGCCCAGGATGCTGATCAGGGGACAGGGACACTCGGCTCAGAGAGTGGAGGGTTGGCCTGGAGGTTCCCCAAGACTGGGACAAGAGGGTCTGATCCACCTGGGGAGGGGCCCTTCCTTCTGACATCCCAGGGGAGGTCAAGGAGGGGCCAGTGGAGAACAGAGCAGAGCCAAGAGAGAGCCAAGGTTCCCAGGCAGTTTCCTGCAGGTAGCACCCCTGGTTTCCAGCCAGCTCCATCCACTGGTTCTGGACTGTGTGGGCGGGAGGAGCCCAACAGAAGGGGAGACTCAGCCCTGGGACAGAATCCTAGGCCTGGAGGAGGGGAAGCAGTGACAGGGCCATCCTATCTGAATTCTCCCCACCCTCATCTCCTGGGTCTGCTGGGCAGTGCCGCCCGCACCTCTGGGGAGGGGTGGGGCAGTACAGGAAGACCCCTCCCCCAACCTGGGAGAGTGGCGGGCAGCCCCCAGCCCCGCCCCACATCCGTCAGCTCTTGGTTCAAGGCCGGGGTCAGCCTGAGGTCGCAATGCCTTTGTGTGTGTCTGTGAGGGGTGGCCCCTCTGCAGGCCTTTTTCACGTGGCTGCAGACCTTGCTGGCCTTTCTGCCAGGACCCTGGAGGGAAGGAGAGCTGTGAGCCCCCAGACGCTCCGACGTGGCCCAGGCACTATTCATCAGAGCCGATTTGATTTGCCAGATGGGTTTGGAGGCAGCCACAGACAGTGAGGGAGGGCTGGCCTCGTGGGCTCTGCCTGGGCAGGTGCTGGCCCAGAAGTGCCAGCTCCAGGAGCTGAGCAGGGTTTTTCGGTGGACGAGGTTTCTTGATGTTGGACTTGGGACATGTGGCTGTCTTTACACAAGAGTCTGGGGCTTGAGTAGCAGAGGGCCTGCCTGCCAGGGGCTGTCCCATCCTGTGCAGCGTGGCCTGGGGCGAGTCACTTCAGTTTCCATCGGAAAAGGGACTGAGTGACAGCCCCGCAGCAGGGGCCGTGTGGACAGGGGACACACAGCAGTGCTCCATTGATGCTCTCAGATGCCACTGTGGGAGGTGGAGGCAGCTGAGCTACTGGAGACGGGGATACTGAGGCCCCAGTGGGAGCTCAGGTGAGGGGTCCCTTTGTCCCGTGAGAGCCCCTGCCCTCCCCAGCTGAGGCCGGCTTCAGCCTCCTCACCACAGGTTGCACCCAGGGTTCCCTGGGGTGGGGATTTCTTTGTCCCTTTGGGGTCCTCAGGCTCTGTTGTCAGGGAGCCAGCATGGACGGATGGCCCATGATGGGGGGCAGGTGGCCTGCAGCCAGTGAGGACAGACAGACGGACAGCAGCACACCAGAGCTCCTGCCCGGCAACCCTGCCCTCGGGCCAGCCTCCCTCACTTCCCTAACTCCTGATTTTTCATCAAAACAGCACACAGGCTCTTAGGCTGTCCAAGGTTGCGGGGCTGCGAGGGGAGCTGAATGAGGCCATTACGTTGGCTTCTAATGTCCCTGCGGCCGCAGCTTGAAAGCTGCCTCGATCAAGCACCCGGGACACTCCAATTTCCGCCTGTCCCACAGCGATCGTATCAGGGCCTGAGTGATCTCCTCGCTGGCGGGCGGCGGAGCTGCAAGGGCAGCCTGTCGGCCAGGAGCCCCCACCCACGCAGCCACCCCTGAGCCCAGCCATCCCCTCCCTCGGGAACAAAGGGAGTCGCAGGCCATGGCCGACAGGGCTGAGAAACAGCTGCGTGCTGCCTGTAATCGTCTCCCCGACTCCCACCTGGGCCCTGTGCTGCGGTTGGGCTCAGCTCATCACTAGCTGGGCACCCTGTCATTCCATTCTCTTCCCCCTGGAGGGGCTGGGGGAAGGCAGGAGCAGCCCTTACATGCCACTCATGTAAGAAGGTGAGGGGGCTCAACGGCTCAGGGGCTCAGAGGGGCAGCAGCCCTCCTCGGGCATCCTCAAGACCTCAGGCCTCTGTCACCCCCTTATAAATGGCCCAGGGTTCTAGGGAGTTGGCTGCAGCTGGGCCTCATAGCAGCCCCCAGCCTGCCAACTGTGGGCAGGAGCTTGGAGCCAGATGGCTTGGGGTTGAGAATGTGCCGGTGCCTGGAGGTCCCTGAGCCTGAGCCTCCCCCCAACCCCAGGGATCTCCATGATCGCCCGGATGTCAGCACGCAGCGATTCATTTGTAAAGAGCTTTGTTTCTGAGCTGGTGGCTGTGGGATGAGAAACCAATTTTTAGAACTTGACTAAGCAAAAACAGGAAACAACCCAGATGTCCCTCAGCTGGGGCTGGATAAACAGGCTGTGGCCTGCCCCTGCAATGGAATACTACTCGGTGACAAAAAGGCGTGCGTCGCCGGAGCTGCCCCACCGATGCTGGCTCACAAGGCTGTGCTCGTCGGGTTCTGCTGTCGGCACAGAGCTCAGGCTGCCGTTGCCAGGGCCGTGGGGCTCCTTGGGGGGATGGAGTGTCCTATATCTTGATTATGGTCACGGTTACATGACCACATGCATTGGTCAGAACTCCCAGAGCTGTGGATGAAAAAGCGGCATTTTCCTGTATGTCATATACTGCCTGTAAATAAAACATTGGAAAGGGTTCTTTCTTTGCACGCGACACAGACGGCAGCCTGGAACGGGCCCAGCTGGGCACTGCTGAGAAAGCAGAGGCGGCTCCACGCTCACCGTGACAGCCGGGAGAGGACCTCACGCCGTCTGTCCCTTCGTCCCTCGATGGGCCTGGAGCCCAGGAAGGGCTCTCGGGGTGGGGGTCTTCCCTCACAGGCCTGGCTGCCCGTGGACAACAGTGGCGCCCTCCCCAGCACTTGCCTGGCCTGGGGGAGAGTGGCCGGCGGGGCGGGCCTCGAGCGGGGACTGGGAGGTGTCCTGGGGCTGAAAGGCAGGACTCCGTTGGAGGAGCCCTGCTTCCATTGACATAACAACTGGGGAAGTGTCACTAAACTCACAAACAAGCCAACAGCAGAAAGGTTACGCCATGTGGGGGAGGGGGACAGAGGTCGAAGAGTGGCACCTCGGAGCCGCTCAGCCCCTCGGCTTCTCTCCCATTCCAGCCAGATGCCTTCAAAGGTCCTCGGCTAAGTAAACACTGGGACTCCCATTTCCTCCTGCACAGCAGCCACAGAGATTCCAGGACTGCTCCGGAGAAGCACCGGCTCCCTCCTTTCCTGCAGACTGGCTCCCAGCCTCTCCTCCAGGGACCCCGACAGCCTTCTGCGGGAATTACCTGCGGGTAAAACAGGCTTTATGGGTCCTCTCCTCCCCGAGAATCGCGGGCCTTTGCCGTGGCCCTAGTAACATGCAGCTACGTACGCTGGGGCCCTATTATCCTATTGGCCAATTATCCTATCAGCCACGTTAGATTGGCCACCTGTCACTGAGTTACTTTCCCTGACAACAGAGGAATGGGGGAGCCCCGGGTAGGCTGTCCCGAGGAGGTGCAGGCTGTCAGCTCCTATGACCTTCAGGTCAGGAGAACTAGAGGGAGAATGAAGGCAGAGCCACTCCCACTCTCTGTGGGTGGTTTTGGGCACGTCTGGAATCTCATTCCCATTTCGCTGATGAGAAAACGGAGGCTGAAACCGCCCAGATAATCTCCCTGATGGGACTCAATGCATCCAGCCTGGGGACTCTTAACCTCACCTGTTCTGGATAATGCCCCCAGCCCAACCCAGGCTGCTCCCGGACCACATATATCAGTATCCTGGGGTGCAGCCTGGGCACCAGCATTTTGTTTTTTTTTTTTTTTTTTTTTTTGAGACGGAGTCTCGCTCTGTCGCCCAGGCTGGAGTGCAATGGCCGGATCTCAGCTCACTACAAGCTCCGCCTCCCGGGTTTACGCCATTCTCCTGCCTCAGCCTCCCGAGTAGCTGGGACTACAGGCACTCGCCACCTCGCCCGGCTAGTTTTTTTTTTTTTATATTTTTTAGTAGAGAGGGGGTTTCACCGTGTTAGCCAGGATGGTCTCGATCTCCTGACCTCGTGATCCGCCCGTCTCGGCCTCCCAAAGTGCTGGGATTACAGGCTTGAGCCACCGCGCCCGGCCTGGCACCAGCATTTTGTAACGCTCCCAGGTGAGGGGCTTCCTGGACCACTGACTTGACCCTTCTCAGGCCGGGGCACTCCCTGTACCATCTGAAAAGAAAATCATAGCTGAGATAACTCACCTCACACATAATTTTGAAAAGAGTCAATGTAATGCCCTAACCGTTATATGGAGGAGGAATTAAAGGGAAATTGTATGATAAAATCATACGTTTTGCAATATGTAAAGGCTTGGTTCTGTCTCCAGGGGGAGCCCAGAAGCCCCGCCCGAGGCGTGCCTAGGTCATCATCTCCCCGCGCCAGCCCCTACGCCGATGCGGACAGGCCGGGCCTGGCGTTCCGGCTTCCAGCAGCTGCGCACATGCCTGCGATGTGACTTTCCCAGGTGGTAAAGTTCCAAACGCAGCAACGTGTTCTCCCCTCAGTGGACACAGGAGATGCTTTCCTGAAAAAGTCAGCGAGGATTAAACGTGCAGCAAAGGTCCCCGGGGCATATTTTCTGAAGTTCTAGCTCAGGTAATTATAAGCAGCCTCGTCGCGTACCTGAACGTCTGGTGAGACCAGGGACGGTGTTACCTGCAGGGCTGGCCTATGTATTTACTGACGGTCATTGTGACAACTCAAAACAGCCCTTCCTGAATTTCCAAAATGCCCCTTGGGGGTGGAGCCACCTAGTGTTCAGCCATTTTGATGTGTCCTGATGACAACAGACACTCTGGGGACAGGAGGAGCTTGCAGGGAGGGTCCCTTGCTGCAGGGCCTGGTGGGCCACCCGTGTAAAGCTTGCAGCCATCAGTGTCCAGAGGGCTGGAGAGGGGTCAGGGTGGCAGGAACATCCCACAGAGAGGCCAGGGTGGGACCAGTGCGAGGAGAGAGACAGAAATGATGTTTTAATGCAATGTTTTATCTTTTATTTTTTATTTTTTATTATTATTATTTTTTTGAGGCCGAGTCTGGCTCTGTGGCCCAGGCTGGAGTGCAGTGGTGCGATCTCGGCTCACTGCAAGCTCCGCCTCCCAGGTTCACGCCATTCTCCTGCCTCAGCCTCGCGAGTAGCTGGGACTACAGGCGCCCGCCACCTCGCCCAGCTGAGTTTTTGTATTTTTAGTAGAGAGGGGGTTTCACCGTGTTAGCCAGGAGTGGTCTCGATCTCCTGACCTCGTGATCCGCCCGCCTCGGCCTCCCAAAGTGCTGGGATTACAGGCGTGAGCCACCGCGTCCGGCCAATGCAATGTTTTAAATAAAGTTAATGCAAAATGAATGCAAGATATCTATGATGAAGGAAATACTGAAGTTTTAGAGGAAAAGGGTTGGTGGTCCTGACGTTCCTTTCTGCCCCAGGCTCTGGGTACAGGCAGGGCGCTGCCGGACACTGCTCTCTGACGGCCTCTCTCCATGGCAGAGGCCTCCTCGGCTCAGGGTAGTGGAAACTTGGTCTTCTGTGCATCTGCGACATCACATCTGGGTGGTCAGTAGCTCCCCAAAGACGGTTGCAGGGCTCTGAGGCTTGGGAATAACCCTTGCGAGGTGGCTGTCCTTGGTTGGGTGTGTGGCTGACCCTCTTGGGGAGGTTTGCAGCCTTGAGGCCCCTTCAGGCGGGCACAGGGGTGGGAGCCACTGGAGGGTGCCCTGTGGGGCATAGGCATCAGGCAGTCTGGGCTGGCAGTTCTCAGCCCAGCCAGACGTGGGGCTGGTTCTAACCATCCTTTGCCCAGGCCACACTCAGACCAGTAAAATCCCAGTCTCTGGGAGTGGTGTCTGGGCAGGAATGTTTCAGAGTCTCTCCCCAGGTGACTCTACCATTCAGCAAGGATTGAGAGCCCTGGGGACCCACCTGGCCCGCCTATCCGAGTCTGGGTGACCATGCTTCTGCGTGGACAGTGCCACTGCCGCCTGTCCCTTTCCCAGAGAGTCCTCATGGCCAAGGCCTGTGTTCTTTTTTCCCAGTGCCGTCACCACCTGTGTTGTCCTCACTTGAAAGGCGGTCATTGAGATCTGCAGGACCGTGCCTAGTTCACAAACGGGGTGGCCACTAACGTTCTTAGAGTCTTTGCCTTGCGCTAGAACTTCCCAAGCGTGTTCTCAAAGCTCTCAGGGCAGCCCCGGGCAGTCAGCACTCTCCTATTGCCCCATTTGATAGACCTGGAAGCCGAGGGGCAGAGGGCCCAAGTCTCCTGGCCCAGTTCCCAGCAGGACAAGGAGAGAGGGAGCTGGAACCCAGGTCTCCACGCTTGCTCCAGCCCCTGCCCCACATTCTCTCCCTTCAGGGTGAGACCTTTCTGTGCCCTTTCTACGTCACCCGGAGCCCGTGACGCCCGCTCATCTGTCTGGCTGGAATCGCCGCCTGGCCCCTCACCACGGTTATTGCCTTTCGTGCCGAGTTGCTTGGGTTTGCTGTGTTATTGGCTCGTTTTTCATTCTGCATCTGCAGTAGCCAGACTTGGAGATGAAAAGCGTGTGGCGCCTAACCATGATGAAAGAGGGGCGCGTGCGAGTGCCCGCGCGTCTGAAAAGGACCTTTTAGAGGCGGAGGAGCAGAGGAGGAGAGTGACTGTGGGCTCAGCTGGTCCTGTGGCCCCGTGGTCTGGATGGTGTGGCCGGAGCCTGGCCTCTCAGAGCCGAGGCTTCCCCAGCTGTGAGGCGAGAGAGGGAGATTCGCCTTGCAGAGTTCCACGGCGCGGCGCGGAGCGGCCACTCCATAAGCATCGTTGCCTTAGCTGTAATATGTTATCACTATAACGTATATCTATGAGTCATAAAATAATAGAACTATTTTATTTTGGAGATCTCTTAGAAAACATAAACAGGAGAAAGAACCGTGAAATGGCTGACTTGAGAATAGCTTCCGCTCTGCTATTCAATTACCCTTCCCTCTTTCTCCCCCTCTCTCTCCTGCAATTTGATTATTTCGGGGCCCACAATGCACTTGTGCCAACATCTCTAGGCCTCTCCGGAGGGTGCACACAAGTGAAATAAACAGGCCTTGTCTGCACCCTCTCTCTTTGGGAGTGGTGTGGGTAAGGAGACCCCCTACAAAGTCATTTTATCCCTCAGGTTCATGGGTGAGCAGGAGCGATGGGGGACACAGTGGTAGTCTGTGTACCCTGGCGGTGTTCTCCCCATTCTGAGAAATTAAGTAATACACACCAGGTTACAGAACAACCAAGGGGCAGGGCTAGGCTTCTAACTCAGGTGTCTGGAACACAGTGTTTTCCATTTCAATATTCAGTCATCATTCAGCAAACAGTGATCACATGGGTTCCAGGGTGCTACGCGTCGGGGGCCGGGCGAGCAAGAAGCCGGGTCCCGTGGCAGCCGCATTGTGGTGGGACAGTCAGAAAATAAACATAGGCCAGGCGAAGGCCCAGGATAACTTCACCGCCACCGAGGGCTTTGGGAAGAGGCCCTAAGGGGATGTGTCAGTGGCGATGGGGTCTGCTGCACGGGGCGGGCGGCAGAGGGCTCCGGGGGAGGTCAGGGCCGTAGACACCCGCCGCTGTCTCAACAGTTTGTGAAGTTTCCACATGGGCTCGTGATGTGGGGAAATTTGTCCCTTGTTCGAGCTACAGAGGAGAATGGGGTGCAGGTGCCAGCTGTTGGTCAGTTCGCCGCTGGCCACCATCTAGCCCTGCCCTTCAGTGGCTAGATCCTCATCAGATACTTGGGTGCCAGGGACCCAGGAGACCTGTCCCTTGCAGTATATGGGAACTCTGTACCTTCCTCCCAGTTTTGCTGTAAACCTAAACAGTTCTTAAAAAGTAGAAGAAAAAAAAAAAACCACAAAACCCCAGCCCCCTAACTGGCCCCTTGGAGAAAATGGTGAACCCACCCTGAGAAAAGGCCAGTGCCCTGGAAATCTCTCTTGTTCTGTTCATGAGGCATCATCATGGGTAGGAAAGAAATGTATAGACATTTCTGTGATATTTCTCTGCTTTTCCGGGGGTAAGTACACCCCAAAGGGTATCTGTGCATTTGGAAGGTTTGCAGGTTCCGTGGTAGGCCTATTTCCTGCCAGTCAAGCAAGGTTCCCAATACTGGAGGCTTCCTCAGACCTGGTCCGAGACAAACGTGGTGAGTCCGTCACGGCACAGCTCCTGGAGCCTCAGAACCCCCACGGCCCTGGCAGCCACTGAGCGGCGATGCGGGTCCCGCTGTGCCTCTTTCCGGGCTTCCCTCCACCTGTGCTCTGGCCCCTGAGGTCTGTTGACAGTGTTGCCTCACCATGCATGGATGCTGCCGTGTGGCAGGAGGCAAAGGTCTCAGCTTTTTTTTTTTTTTTTGAGATGGAGTCTCGCTCTGTCGCCCAGGTTGGAGTGCAGTGTTTTGGTGTATTCGGCTCACTGCAAGCGCCACCTCCCGGGTTCACACCATTATCCTGCCTCAGCCTCCCCAGTAGCTGAGACTACAGGCGCCCACCACCACAGCCGGCTAATTTTTTGTATTTTTAGTAGAGACAGGGTTTCAATGTGTTAGTCGGGATGGTCTCGATCTCCTGACCTCGTGATCCACCCGCCTCAGCCTCCCAAAGTGCTGGGATTACAGGCGTGAGCCACCGTGCCTGTACTTTGTTTTTTTTTTTTTTTTTTTTTTGAGACGGAGTCTTTTTCTGTTGCCCAAGCTGGAGCACAGTGGCGTGATCTCAGCTCACTGCCACCTCTGTCTTCCGGGTTCCAGCCATTCCCCTGCCTCAGCCTCTCGAGTGGCTGGGATTACAGGTGCCCACCACCATGCCCTGCTAATTTTTGGAATTTTAAGAAAAAAGGGGTTTCACCATGTTGGCCAGGCTTGTTTTGAACGCCTAACCTTTGGTGATCCACCCGCCTTGGCCTCCCAAAGTGCTGGGATTACAGGCGTGAGCCACCGCACTCAGCTAACATCTTTTTTATCCTATTACCGAGGTGGGCAGAAGCCCAGGAAGCCGGGACAGGGCGCAGTTGGTCAGTGGGGATTCCAACGGCTGAGAGGGATCCTGGGATCCACCTCACTGGTGGTCACACGTGTCTGGGACCCTCCTCCATGGCCCCGGGCCGTGGTAGACCTTCTCTCTGGGCAAGTTGATGTTTACTGTGCAGCACTGACTCACTGGCAGAAATTTGGAGTGGGAAGTCTGGAACGGATCTAGAGAAGTCAGGAGGGGACGGCATAGCTGGAGGACAGAGGGGAGAGGAGCAGGCCCCCTGCAAGCCTGGGCAGGTGGCGGCTCTGCCCCAGCCCCTACAGGTTGGATCCCACGGCAGTCACTGTCTGGCATCCGTGGCCAGCATACCTGAGAGCTTGTTTGAGCCGCCCTTAGCCGTTTATAACACATCCCCCCCATCAATGATCTCCAGCTTAATTTAGCTTTTCCCACAGCCCCAGGAGGCAGGCTTCGCCACTGCACTTCAGAGATGCACCAACCTGACCCCCCATCCTCCCATAGGCCACGACCACCGGGCACTGCCTGCCAGGCTCTGCGCTGCCACTGTCAGCTGGAGAGAGAGCCGATGGCTCCTGGCACAGCCTGGAGGGTTAAAGGAGGCACGGTGTCTGGGGCTGGCCTAGTGGGCGTTCCATGTGTCATGCTTGTGTGTCTGAATTTCCTTCATTAAAGCATTTGTTTTTATTGAAGTGAAATTAACACAGCATAAAATTAAGTATTTTAAAGTGTACGATTCAGTGGCATTTAGTTCATTCACAATGTTGTACAATCACTATTTCTATCTGGTTCCAAAACATTGTCACCATCCCCTAAAAGGAGGCCTATACCCAGGAGCAGTCAACTCCTCGAAGGTGAGCGCAGGTCAAGGAAGGCGAGGGAAGGACGGGAGGGAAGGAAGGGAGGGACAGGAGGGGAGGCGGAAGGG